AACTTCTCACAATTAATACTAGATTTAGCAATGAAAGACGTTGATACAAAAGAGTGAGTAGCTCCCGAATCAAAGAGTACATAAGCATGTGTATTGAATATCAGTAAAATACCTATTATTACGTTTGAGTTTTCCTTTGCATCCTTCTGAGTCAGTGTAAAGACTCGTGCTTTTCCCTTTTTGTTCTGATCACTGTTATCATCCTTCTTTTGAGTGAACATAGGACAATCCTTAGAAATATGTCTTGGCTTACCGCACCAAAAACAAGCATTCTTCCCATACAAGCATTCACTACGATGAGGCTTATCACACTTCAAACAAAGCGCAACTGTAGCTAAATGGCCTTGCTGGCACTAGATCCGATGTTAGCCTTCTTATTTTTCCATTTGCCCTTTCCTTTGTCTTGACCATTCCACTTCTTCTTTCCAATATGCCCTCTATCTTGCTAGTTGTACAATTGATGGTGTTGCTTCGCATTAGCCTTCTGATACTAAATAGCGTGAGCTCGTTCCAACATCTCACGATATGATGTGAAACGATGTGACATAAGGATCATGCTTAGGTCTGGGTTTAACCCTTGCTCGAACCTTCTAGTCTTCTTAATTTCCATGTCAACCAGGTGTGGAGCATATATTGAGAGTTGATCGAACTTTCGTTCGTAATCAATCAGGGACATATTACCCTGTTTGAGCTGAAGGAATTCACTTTCCTTGAAATCTCTTAGAGACTGAGGAAAATACTTGTCCATTACTTCCTCTTTAAATTGTTCCCATGTTAACGCCAATTGCTGCTCCTAGGTTTTAGTTCGAGACATTGAATCCCACCAGTAACTTGCATCACCAATAAACATAAACTCCGCACACTGAACCTTTTGGGCGTCCGTAAATTTGTTCTAGCTTACGAAACCATTCCTCAACTACTAGTGGACTAGATGCTCCATCGAAAGTAGGGGACTTATGCTTTCAAAATAACTCAACCACCGAGGCATGAGTCGGGAAAGTAATAGGAGCTCGCAGTGTAGGTGGAGCTGGGTTCTGATTCAACCTGCCAAGATCTTGAACCGCTTGTAGGAGATCTCTTATCAAATTGTTATGGTTTGCACGAGACATTTCCCTAGAAATAAAATATAATATCTCACATTAACTTCTTTTTCCAAAACCAGGATTAAAATAGGGAAATATTTTCAGCTCGAACCAGATTTGATTTTTTTTTTATATTAAAAGTACTCATTGAAATCAGGATATACAATAGTCCGATGACCTTTACTTCCATAACATTAAGGAAAAGATAACACAAGGAAAATGAATCTAATTTCTAATCCCTATGAATCTTGCGAATCTTCTTTGGTGAAGCTTCATCTTCGGAGGAGTCTTCTGCCTCAGGCCCCGACTCTAGGTCCATCTCAACCTGTGGCTCATGCTCATGTTCATTCTCTAATTCCAACCCAAAGTTATTCTCATGCTCCCATTCGGGATCTTCCTCTGGGTCCTATTCAAACTGAGGTTCTGGCTCTGGCTCTGGCTCTGGCTCGGACTCAAGCTCGAGCTCAGGTTCAATTACTATCTTCAATTGAGGTTCTAAGCTCTCACTCCACCTGTCTACAAGGATCTGACAATATATACCGAATTCAATTGCTTTTGGGTACTCTGGAGGGTTACCTTCTAGCATCTCATCCCTAACCATGACTCTCATGTTTCCCCATTGAGGTGAAAGTAAGTCTATGAGGTTATTTACAACCTCGATATGCGTGATCTCCAGTCCTGCATCTACTGTAGCCATACATCTCTCGTAAATGTCATATATGTGTTCAACAAATGGATGAGATGGGTCAGTCACGTTGTTCTCATAGGATTGAATGATAGACCTACGGTTCAATGCTGATCTACAAGCCATGGTCTTTCTAGCGGTCTGATAAATTCTAACCATGTCCGTCACATAAGTGTCCAATTATGTATTATCTCTATTAGTGATATCAACTTATATATTATGCTTTTGGAGTTTCAATAAAATATCTAATCATCATTTCTTCATGTATATATAGACAAAATATAACTTACATAACATATTTCATCCTAAATATCATTAGCATTTCATAGATTCAAGTTTAAATGATTTATAAATCATGCTCGAAAAATAAAATGGAACATAATATTTTATTCCATACCATGGGTTCATCAGATGAGGTTAATTGATGGATGCAAGATGCCATGTAATGCCTTAAATGTTTCACTTTCTCATCTTTTAATTATTATTTTTTTTATATAAAAAAAATGCACTAAGTCTACAGAATCGACTAAACTCGCGCTCTGATACCACGCTGTAATGCCCCGACCCGCAAGGACCAGAACGTCGCTAGATTAATTGTACTTTTAGCCGCAAACTTAAAAAAATAGCTAAACTTTTAGAAGAAATTATAAAGATTTAATTTAAGAATATATTTTTTAAAAGAACAATAAATGACAACATAACTCAATACAAAAGAAACTAATTGCTAGTGTCTTCAGGTGATATCCATGCATAAATACATTTTTGTTACATGAAATTCTAGGCAAGAATTTAAAAATAAATGTTGTTGTTTGACTTCCCATTTTTGCGCAGTAAATTTTAAAGTAAACTCGTTTACATAGTAATTTAGATCGAAACTTTAAGAGAAAGTAGGGGACTTATCATAATATAACATATCCAAAATTCAACTTTCATCGGCAACTTATGAATGTTAAAATATTTTTCAAAACCTTGCAGCGACTCGATTTGTAAAGTAACCCAGCGCAGCATACTTAAGGTGGCATATAAAATTTCATAGATATTGGATTGACATGATTTTGAGTTTATTCAGTAGCTAATCGATGAGACTATTAAATCCCACTGGTTTTGTCCAAAAATCCCAAGTAACGATTGAGTTACGAATTTTTAAGTTCAATGGCAGAAACTGGAATTTTCATAAAACAGCAATATTATGTTTACTTAAAGTGACATATAAAATTTTACCGACATCGGATTGAAATGATTTTAAGTATATTCAGTAGCTAACTTATAAGGATATCAAACACCATTTTGTTCAAAAAATCGAAGTAACAAATTAGTTATGAATTTTTAAAATCTGAGCAAAAACTGAAATTTCGAAGAAAACAGTAACATTAACTAGTTGACTTTTTTTTTTTAAAGGCGGTGTTTCGTAAGTAAATTCTAGATCACATATATATATTTTTAAATATAACATATTCATAAAAAAATATTCATAGAAATAGTTTCATATACGATGTCCATAGAAATGTAATTAATAGGAAACGCAAATATTTCATAATCAATTTAAAGTTGTTAATTCACCGACTTTTCCATGTCAAATTGCATCTTCAACCACCATCATCCGCCCCCCCAACAAAAGAACAAAATCAACCTATAATCCGCCCCCCCAACAAAAGAACAAAATCAACCTATAAAAAGGGATTTAACCTATGAATTTGAAATTCAATAGATATCATCGATGCATTTCGTAATCAAATTAGAAAATTCGATCCATGGATTCATACCGTCGCACGTAGATGGATTTTCGGCAAAATTCGATATCTATAGCATTATCATAACACGTAGAGCCGGAGAATGATCATTTAAACTATAGTAGTGCCGAAACACCGTACCCGGAGGTACCATTTCATTCAACTTTTAACGAAAAATCAAATTTGAAAACGAAATAACACTTGCACCTCAACCTTCCTTGAATTTTCTTGGATATCAAAGAACAAATATGTAGAAAGTCTTTATTCTTCTCACCCTTGTTATTCCCTTAGCTTAAATTGACGTAAAATATATTTTTTTGAGAAAAAATAAGATGAAATTCAGATTTAAAGAAGGATATAGTGAAAAAGTGACATTCTACTTCTTGTAACCTTTTTTTTTTAATGAAAAACTAAATGGGGGATTGTATTATCATAAAATTTGTTAAATTGGATCTTTAACTAAGAATTTGAAGAGTTTTTAATTCTAAAAAATAATTCATAAAAAAAGTTTTATAAAAATATCTACATGGTGATTCGAATACGGGTTGCCTATATGAAATACCATGTAGATGACCATTGGGGCAATCCAGTTATTCATTAAATCTTTGTAATCAAATTTACTTAAACTTAATCTCTTAAATTGTTGGGCTTTTAATTAATTTATGGCTTGGGCTTTCAAAATCTTAAATAGTTTGAGCTTCCACAACTCGTTTCTTGAATGAGATATGCTCGTGGTGCTAGATCATCACAACATAATAGTCTAATTTTATTTTATTTCTCGAGCTTCTACAATATACGTACTTAAAAAGTCTTTGTAAGGCTTGGAACAAGCTTCAAGACAATGGTTTGTTCAGTGAAGCAGGGTATATGCAATCTAAAGCAAAATATTCGTTATTTATTCTATCAGAAAGAAGGGGTTTTGTTGTTTTGGTATGTGTAGATGGTATAATTGTGGCAGGAAATGACTTGGTGAATAAATGGTCTTTGAATGACCATTTTAAATTAGAAGAACTTGAATACTTGAAACACTTTTTGGAGATTAAGCTTGCTCGATCAAAGGTAGGAAGTCATTTACTACAAAGAAAATGTGCACTCAAAATTCTAGATGGTAGAAGATTTTTAAGTGCAAAAGCATCAAAGTTTCCCACGGGGCAAAATTTGAAGCTTGACGAGTCTAATGACAAACTTTTAACAAATCCTTGTCCATATTGCAAGATTGTTAGAAGACTAATGTACTTATCCATTACAAATAATATTATGAATCCAAGCTAGTGATTGATATAACAAATTATATAAAGATTGATTGTCATATAGTTCCTCAAATATTTGAATAGTGAATACTGTTGAGCAAACCACCTGTTCTTTTTTTTAACCTCAACCGTTACGACACGTGTCTATTCCTTAACTAATCAGTCCCAACTATATTCATATTACAGTTACAGCGCCAGCAATTTGGTTATTCTTCCCGCCTTCCATCTATCTATACATACAACTCCATCCCACTCTCTGCTATTTCTCTCACTACATTCTTGTGTAAACCCTAATTTTTCGCATGCGATTCAATAGGTTATACAAGAAATTGATATGGGGCATAAGAAGCGAAATAATGCTCGTCGCTTCAAAGGCTCTCAGCCACCAACGGCGACTCCTACAAAAGTCAACAACTCCGCCGTCGATGGAGGAGCAAACCCCACGCTGCTGGAACTAGAAATCAGCGAAATTGCTGCAACCCCTTCATTCTCCAACTATTCAACCATGATCGAGTGCCAGCCAATCCTAGCTGCTCTGCACCAAGGGAACCACAAGAAAGCCATGCAGTTGATGGAGGATTTGCACTTAAAGCATGAAAATTCTGCCTGGATTCACCATGCAATGGGGAAAGTTTGTGCTAGGGTTTCCTCGATGATTGAAGATCCGACTGCCAAACAGCAGTATTTGAAGAAGGCAATAGAGAGTGCAAGGAAGTCGGTAACAATGTCACCGGATTCTTTTGATTTTTCACTTTTTTATGCGAATTTGTTGTTTGAGACTGCAAATGAGGGGGAGTATGAGGAGGTTGAGCAGGAGTGCCAGAGGGCAATGGAAATTGCATCCCAGTTCCTTCAAAGCCTTTCCAAATTTGAGGCTCGGGTGATCTGGTTCGAAAATGAGGTGCAGTCTTTGATTCAGAAGTTAAATACAGCAACAGAGTGCCATGAGAAGACTTCCACGCCTGAGGTTGCGGTTCCCCCAGTGCAAAATGGGGAGGGGTCCTTGATGCAGAAGTTCAACATTGCATCCATTTTGACTAGTAAGGAGAATCTGGGTTATGATGAGGAGAAGTTTTTGTCATTTCCAGCTAGAGTCCCTGACGAACCAATGGAATTGAGAACGATTCTTGGGAGAAGGCCTAATGAGATTGAGAAGACAACTAAAAATCCTGAGGAACTTAGGAAAGAGATTGAGGAGAGGGTGGCTGCTGCTCGGCTTCTGCAGCTCAAGTCTTTGTCCCCTCTGTGTGGTAACAACAGCAATAAGGGGTTGGATTCTAGTTCACGGATGGGTAATAGAGTAGGAATAAGAAGGAAAAAAGGGAAGGGGCAGAGAAACATTTCTTCAGCTGAGATAAGGGACTTTGTTCGGTCTTATTGGAACTCAATGAATTTGGATAGGAAGATAGAATTGCTTAAAGTTAATATTTCAGATCTCAAGCTACATTCTAGTTTGTTAAAGGAAGAGTCAGTGAGTGAGGTCCTTCAAGAAGCTTTATCTTTTGTGAAAGAAAATAAGGTATGGAAGTTTTGGCTGTGCTGTTGCTGCAATAAAATATTTCCCGATGTACATTCACATAGGGAGCACGTAAAATAGGAGCATATGAGGACTTTGTCACCAAAGTTGCAGTTGATTATACCCGGTAGAGTGGATAATGAGTGGGCTGAGATGCTTCTAAATTGTTCTTGGAAACCATTAGATTTAAATGCTGCAATTAGAATGCTTGAAGATAAGTCGAATGCAAGAAACACCAAAGATGGTTCCAGTGAATGTGAAGGGGATTCACCTGAAAAGAACAAACTAGGCAATAACTGCCAGGATAGTACCCAGGAAAGCCAGGATTTAGAAACTATCAAGTGGATGAATAGAGATGAATATCAAGCTCGTAAGAGAAGTTTCTTTTATAAAAACTGGCCTTCAACTGATGACTCAGAATGTGAGTGGCTTCTGGCAAGAATACATGCGACATTTGAGCTGCTTATCAAACACAACTATCTTGCCTCAAGTCACCTTAGCAAGGTTATATACTTTGCAGTTGAGCAGCTGCAGGGTCTTGCTGATGATTCTCATCTTCTTAACTACAATATGGACCAAACACCATTGTGTATCTGCTTTCTGAGTGCTCCCAATCTTGAGAAAATCATGACTTTTTTGGGGGAAATTTTGCGTGACATTTTTTCTTTTCCACCTGGCAAATATTCTGATAAAAGATATTCAACGGATGATTCAATAAGTTGTACTCAAGTTGTTGACACTACAGAGAAGAAAACTTTTGCTCTAAATGATTTAGTTTTGGTGCTTGATGAGCTTTTCCCTCCCTGCAAGCTGAATTCTTCATTGTATGATGATTCCAGTTCAGCTACTTCATTGTGCAACTATTATAAGAACAACGATGTCGTGCTTGATTCAGATGCATTACTATCCTGGATATATACAGGCCCCTCAAGTGGGGAACTATTGGCATCCTGGACATGTGCAATGGAAGAGAGAGTACAACAATGTAAGGAAATTCTCGAGTTACATGAAAAGGAATTTTACAACCTGCAGGGCTTGTGTGAGATAAAATGTGAGGGTTTAAATTACGAGGAAGCATTGCAAGCTGTGAACGATCTCTGTTGCAAAGAGAGAATTAAAAGAGAGCATGATGTCCCACAAGGTTATGACCGTGTCTTGATGAAGCGGCTAGAAGAGCTCGTTGGAAGGGAAAATGGAATTACTGTTATCAGTAGTAGGTTTGAGCTAGACATTATAGAAAATATTTTGAAGGATGCAGAATCTGCCAAAAATGACCATACGAGGACAAAAGACCATTTACATCAGGTGGACTCCTGCATAGAAGGTGCAATACAGAGACGTCAAGAACAAGCATCTATTGAGGTTAGTGTTGTTAGTTCTGCTTTTATCTTCTGCTACTAGGACCAAACTATGTCTACACTTTGATGCTTTATCATTTTTCTTATTTTTACAGCTCAGTAAAGTTGATGCAAGGATTCTGCGAGTTGTAAGTTTGATGCAGCAGTTGGAAATTAAACTTGACTCTGCATCTGCCCACGATTTCAGATCAATGTTCACGCATCTAGTGAAATCATATTTGCGAGTTAGTATCTGGCATAGTGCCTTCTTGTATTATCCCCTTAACATTTCTTGCTTCCATTTACAGTTAAATCATAGGTTTTTTGTTCACCTTTTTACAGACACATTTGGAGGGTCTTGCAGAGAAAGATGCCACAAAGAAATCTGATGCTGCTGGAGAAGCACTTTTAGCAGAACTTGCTCTTGATTCTGAACAGGGTTTTGGTGGAGGATGCAATAAAAGAAAAAACAAGAAGAGTAGGAGAAACAAGGAATCGAAGGTTTAAGCTGCGTGAAAATTTCTATTGGTTATTTACCATAGATAAGAACTGTATGATGCATGGTCATCATTTATACTGACTATAATTTTTACAGGCCACTGGTGGTAATAGGCTGCAAATGATTCGTGACCAGAGATCTGAAATGATGTATGTTACTCTTTTAACAGAACTGTGTGCATGTTCTCCATATATTTCATCTGAAACGCATATGAATAATATATTTAATTTCTTTGTTTCTAATCTCTCCGCAGATCACATATAAGGGTTCACGACTGGGATGATCCTGATGCTGAAGTTTCTTTTGCTGGGACTGATGTCGCTTCAAGACATCAGAAAGAGGAATACAAGCATAGAATCAAACTCAAATTTGATGAACGAAAGCTTGAAGAAAATTTGAAATATGAAAGACAAATTGAAAATGAGGCAAAAGAGAAGCATCTTGCAGAGCAACCCGTATCTTCAGAAAAGAACAATGTTGAAGTTGGTCAACTGAGATCTAAGGATAATCCCAATGGTGATGGAGGTATGTACCTTCAATCCAACTAGTGGTGTGTGTAACCCAAATTTATTTCCACAGATTGTTATTTTGTATTTTTATTTACCCAAACTTTGATTCGCATATGAATAGTGAACAATCAAATACTGATCTATAATATATTTAAGGTTTAGTTGTACCCTATAATAATATAGAAGTGGGGTTGAGTCAGTTGTTTGATTCAGTTTTGCCTAATTTTCAAATCTATAAAATTTCAAATTCAGCTCGGATCATCTTATATAATATTCACAGGCTGACATAAAGAGATTAACTATCACATACAGAGTCACACAGATTAAAATTCATACAGGGACTAAAATATAACAATGACAGACTTGAAGCAATCAGCAACTAATATTTAATCTGATTTGGATGATAGGGTACCTAAGGAAGTTCTAGTGGCGGTTAGGGAAACAAGTTTCTATTAGATATATGATGGAATGGACGCGAGCATAAGATGTAGTGCCAATAGCAGTGGAAAATTTCCTATCATTGGGAGGGGTTGTTAGCAGTGAAATCCTTAGTCTTACAAATGATAGCCCGTAACTTTGGTTCATGTTAGATGTTGAGGATTGAGAAACTCTTGGAAAACTTTATGAATAAAGAAATGAGAATACTTTATAATGTAAACGCTAATAAATTGAAAGGCTAAGGACTGTAAAAACAGACCATTTGGGAAATAAAGGTTGACAAATCTTTTGAATTTAGCTATGTAAGCTCTTTTGAAAAGGTAGTGGCGTGGAGTTGTATAGAAGAATTCATGTCATAGATGACACAAAGTGTTACACTGGTAAAGAATCTTCTATCCATATTTGGGACCAGTTTCGAATAAACATAGGTGGAGTTCACATAACAAGGTTACAATGCATGATATGCTCTAGCAATAAGTAGAGCATGCTCGCTAGGGGCGGACCCAAACCATTAGTATTGTGGGGTCAAAATTTTAAAAATAATTTTCTTAATAAACAATATAATATCAATGAAAATAAGTTTATATGTATTTTGACACTTTGAAAACGTAGTATAATTACATCATTATTAATATTATTAAATAAATTTTGCTACTTATATAGTTTTATTTATCATTTCATTGGCAAATGCTGAGCTAACATTGAGTAAATTAAATTGAATATAGAAATTAAATGAATTGAAATAAAACTCAAGTTTAGTTCAGGAAGTAAATGAAATTCAAATTCAAAGCAAATATAATTCGAAAGTAATTCAAATTGCATTTAATCCCTAACGACCCTAAAAAATTTACGTCATATTTCATGTAAGACTTCCGAATGAAACAATATAAATTATATTGAAAAATTTATCATGCAAAAATAATAATTAATTGAATTTTTTAAAAGAAAAACGAGTTAGACGTCTTTTTTGAGGCGTACGTTTGATACATATTTAACTATTTTCGATATCTATTTGGACCATTCGATATGAAAACGATGTAACTTTCGAAACAAACTTTTACAAGGCATAGACGATTTGTGGATTCAAATAGCACATGATTGAAAACGAATTTTTAAAGTTAGGATATTATCGAAATTCTCAAAATACTAGTTTCAAACGCCCTACTTTAACATGTCATAACTTTTGCTATAGTTGACCACTTTGCATGCCATTAATAAGTGAAAAATTAGGCCATAAGCACTTCGAAATGGTATTAAGAATGCAATATTTTGACTTTATTTGACATCTCGACGAGTGCATCAAAGTAGATTGTTTAAAAAAAAAAAAAAAAACAACAACAACAACAGGTTTTGTGGGGTCATTTGACCCCATGTGGGTTTACCCCTGAAGCTCGCTAAGCTTAAAAAATTAAAAAGTACTTCTGAGTAACTTTTTATTTTCAAACATGTTTAGATATACTAGTTTTTCCTTAATTAGAATAAGCAACTTAATTTAACTGCAACTCTTGCCTTAATTCAAAATAAATAACTTACTCACTTTCAACTTTAACCAATAATAAAATATTTAGTTTAAAACTTATATATTTACTTTTAAATGAACTTTTAATCTTAGCCGAACAGGCTCTACTCTGAAACATTCTGAAGGTTTCATCTGAACTACATTACCTAGTTTATGATAGCTGCAGTCTGTAAGCAGGAGAGGGAGTGCAATTCATTAAAATTGTTTTTTCTTAAGCCTGGATCCACAAGTCATGCAATTTCTGTTCTTTGGTAAGTGAGGCTATGCATTATCAATTTTTCAATGTTATTGAGCAAAGATATAAATTTGACTGATGATATTATGATCTGAGCATTGTTAGAAATTCAGTTATTGCCCTTAATTTTTCAAGGTTATTGAGTAAAGCAATCAATTTTAATGAATGTATCTTCTGAATTTATTAAACTAACATGATTACTGATATTATAATTAAGAGCTGAAATAGGTATCCTTTGTCTACGTGGCCTCAGGTTGAGTATCTACGCAGATCATGCATACTGTATTTAATTTTTTATTTCTCCCTGTCCTAGTTCTTTGTGGTTCTGTTAATTCTCTTAGATTTCAGTACTGATGCATGCTCTGTATTGGTGAGTTTCAAAAGTTGAAGGTCAAACTTATGCAAATTTCCATCAATTTTATGGAACAAAGCTGCCCCTACATATCTGCATGCATAACAAATTAGACAGATGAAGTTGCTTTTTATTTCCTAAAGTTGCTCAGCCTCATATTGAATGTTGCCTTTGATGATGACTTCAGCATTGCCACTAAAGAAGCTTTCAGAAATGGATGACTTGGAGTGTTCGTCAATTAAGGTCATGGATGATGTTGCTCATGTAATGGATATATATTTACCTGGTCTGACAAACAAAAATGATGAATATAATAGCTTTCTCAACGTCATAATACAGGTTGGTATTAAGAGGCATGCTTTTCTTTGTTGTGTCCTATGAGTTTTCTTTCATGGTAAAAATATTCCTAGGCCCTAAGTTATTGACTCTATTTGGAATTCAGGCCTTGTGGCACTTGAGACGTTTTCGAGATGAACTTTTGAGAACATCAACTGGACATATTCATGCTGGTGATCCTCGTGTTACATGTGCTTTATATGATATCTTCACTTCTCTGAACACAGCATCAACTGATACTCAAAGAGAATCTGTTGCGCCTAGATCTTTGAGGGTTGCTCTGAGCAACCGGTCTCATGACAGTAAGTTCTTTCAGGAGGTAAATACATAACTTCTTGTTTATATTTTGGTACATTTCTTCGTATATTCGTCATCATATAATCAGAATTTGTTTATAAATTCCTGATTAATATTTTAGAAAATGTGCAGGGACAGATGAATGACGCTTCAGAAGTGCTTGGGGTAATATTTGATTGCCTTCATCAGTCATTCCCTTGCATAGCACCACCTGTTCAACGGTTTGGCTCCTTGGACTACAAGAAGTTATCTTGTATTTCACACTCACTTTTCGGAATGGAAATATTTGAAAGAATAAATTGTGACAGTTGCGGTTTGGAATCCAGACATCAAAAGTACGATTCATTTTTTCATAATATCAATGCCAGAGATCTCAGGACAATGAAGGCATGTCTTTTTGGACATAATTTATCCAATAAGGGTACTACTCCTGGTGGTAGATAAAAAATAAATTGCTTGTTAGTGAAATGTAGTTGCTAAACAATCTTAATCTTTTACCACTTCAGGTTAAGTGCCCAGGAAATTCATTTGATGAGCTTTTAAACTTGGTTGGGATGAGTCAACAGTTAGCTTGTGATCCAGAGGTTGGCGGCTGTGGAAAGCTCAACTACGTTCATCGTGTTCTCTCAGCTAAGCCCTATGCTTTCGTATCCGGTAAAGTTTCCATTTCATTTAATCATTGTCTATTCAGGTCTTTATGTGTTGAGTGTGCCGGAATGGGGCTGAATGTAGCAAACTGAATCGCCACTCTACTTCTGCACTTGGATCCCACTGGATGCTAAATCTAACAATGGCTTTTCATTTGGTAGTTCTGGCTTGGCAGAATACTAGTGAAAGTTCAGATGACATAACGGCAACATTAGCAGCCTTGACTACTGAGATTGATATCAGTGTGCTTTATCGTGGTATTGAACAAAAAAGTAAACATTGCCTGGTTTCCTTGGTATGCTTCCTTTCCTATACTTATTGTTGGGAAAATGACCTCCCAAAGATAGCCCAAAGATCAAACAAAGTTGGCAAAGTGAAAATTTCCAATCCACTTGAAGAACAAGAAAATGGGGAAGAAATGATTTTCAATATATAAATGAAGAACAATGGATTGGATTACTTGAACAAGCCTCAAGTTAATCCCCAAGAAAAGAAAATAGCTTTGAATTTATACCCAAGAAGAACAACCTCTTACTTGTTAAATTCAATCCAAGCTCTCTCACTTTTCTCTCCAAAATCGTGTGTTAAAAATGAAGGGGAAAAACCAGCTATATAAATAGCTGAGTCGGGCGCCATGGCGCCAAGATGGATCAGAACCATGGGCGCCATGGCGCCTGCATCACTGGACCATTTTTCACACTTTGCCCAATCATGGCGCCATGGCGCCTGACTCCCTGCACCGCTTTCTCACAATTCTCCACCTCGTACATCATTTGATAGACCTCAAATTTTGGACGAACACAAGAAGAAGCAGCAAGCGCCAAACTCGGCTGCACCATTCAAACCATGGTTGCCTACGTACCCAAAACTCGGGATCAAGCCTCCGTAGTTCACCTCCACCTTCATAAACTCTTCATCTCATTTCCACCCCGAAGGGCCATGCCCTCTCGGGCATATCAACATGGACTAATGTGAAGCAAGTCCAAGCATTGTTGAAACTTGCTACCCGTTACCACTTTGGTTAATATGTCAGCTGGGTTCTCATTTGTGTATACCTTCGAGAGTGAAATATCACCTTCCTCTATAACATCACGCACAAAATGATACCTGACGTCAATATGCTTGGTTCGAGCATGATGAACCTGATTCTTAGCCAAGTGAATCGCACTCTGGCTATCACACCACAAATCCACACAATCCTGCTCAATCCCCAAATCATCTAGAAGACCCCATAACCACAATGCTTCCTTCACTCCCTCTGCCATGGCCATATACTCGGCCTCTGTAGTAGAAAGAGCAACTGTAGCTTGTAACATCGATCGCCAACTAACTGGGGCACCATGTATGCAAAACACATATCCAGTAGTAGATCGTCGTCTATCTAGATCACCTGCATAATCCGAGTCCACAAACCCACTTATATGACATGCATCTCCACCAAAACATAAACCCGTATCCGCGGTACCTTTTAAGTACCTCAGGATCCACTTCACAGCTTCCCAGTGTGCCTTCCCCGGATTCGTCATGAATCTACTGACCACACTCACCGCCTGTGAAATATCTGGGCGTGTACACACCATGGCATACATCAAACTGCCAACTGCACTAGCATAAGGCACACGATCCATGCGTACCTTTTCTTCCGCTGTAGTAGGAGACTGTTTACCAGAGAGCCTGAAATGTGGAGCCAATGGAGTCACCACCGACTTTGCACCTTGCAACCCGAACCTAGCAATAACCCACTCAATGTAGCCTTTCTGACTCAAGAACATTCGCCGGTTCATCCTCTCTCTTCTAATCTCCATACCCAGTATTTTCCTAGCAGCCCCCATATCCTTCATCTCAAACTCTTTACCAAGTTGAGATTTCAACTTATTTATCTCCACCTTGCTTTTCGAAGCGATAAGCATGTCATCCACATACAATAGAAGATAGATATAGTTACCTCCACGAAGTTTTCGAATATAAACACAACAGTCATACTCACTTCTGGAGAAACCATGCTTTAGCATGAAGGAGTCAAAACGCTTGTACCACTGTCGAGGAGATTGCTTCAATCCATATAGTGATTTTCTCAAGCGACATACCTGACGTTCCTTATTCTCAACCTTGTAGCCCTCAGGTTGATGCATATACATTCTCCTCATCCAAGTCTCCATGCAAGAAGGCGGTTTTGACATCGAGTTGTTCCAGCTCAAGATCATGATGAGCAACAATACTCAATAGCACCCGAATGGAAGTGTGCTTGACCACAGGAGAAAAAATCTCATTGTAGTCAACTCCCTCTCTTTGTGCAAACCCCTTAGCCACTAACCTTGCTTTGAATCTTGTACCACCGAGCTTGGTAGGATCCTCCTTCTTTTTATACAACCACTTGCAACCAATAGCTTTCTTACCTATGGGCAATGGGACAACCTCCCATGTTTGGTTCTTGTGAAGTGATTCCATCTCTTCTTCCATTGCCGCCAACCAACTCTCGCTATTGTTGTTTAAAATAGCTTCCTTGAAAGTGGTAGGCTCATCATCCTCCACCGAGAGTGCATACTCAACCAAATTTGTCTGCCCATAGTGCCTCAAAGGCTCGTCTGACCCCAACTTTAGAACTTGCTTGTAAGTACGGCGTGGCCTAGAGGAAGCTAAGTTATCTGCAAGCTGCTGCTGTTGCTGTGCCTGTACATTCTCTTGCTGAATCGCCTCTTGTTCAAGTGCATTATCACTCTCATCTTGAGTGTCTGTTTGATGCTCCTCTTGAACATGCCTAGAATCAGGTTGATCTCTAGGTTCTATGTCAACAACTTGAGACATTGTAGTCTCAACATCATCACCACCGGGCACTGTAGCTTTCAACGAAGCTACCATGGAGTTCTTATCAAAAGTAACATCTCTGCTGATTACGAACTTAGAATCCTCTACACACCAAAGGCGATAGCCTTTAACACCTGCTGCATACCCCAAGAATATAGCCTTCTTAGCCCTCGCATCAAGCTTTCCCTCGTTGACATGATAGTAGGCTGTGCATCCGAATGTTCTGAGTTTCTCATAATCTGCATGTTCTCCTGTCAATACCCTATAAGGTACATCTCCATCTAACCTTGAATGTGGAGACCGGTTCACTATGTAGCAAGCATTTGCAACCGACTCTGCCCACCATTCTCTACCCAAACCAGCATAGGATCGCATACACATCGATTTCTCTCGAAATGTGCGATTCAGTCTTTCCGCGACCCCATTCTGTTGCGGTGTATTTCTTACTGTCCAGTGTCTCACAATGCCTTCCTTACCACAGAACTCCTTGAAAGCACCATCTGTATATTCAGTACCGCTATCAGATCTCAGTGTCTTCAATTTCTTTCCTATTCTGTTTTCAACCATTGCTTTCCACTTCTTGAAAGTGTCGAATACCTCATTCTTATACTTCAAAAAATAAATCCAAGCATATCTAGAATAATCATCAACAAATGTAACAAAATACCTAGAACCGCCTTTGGAAGTGACAGAAGTCGGTCCCCATACATCCGTGTGCACATAGTCAAGAATGCCTCTGCTTCTATGTTTGCTTAGCTGGAACTGAAATCGGTGTGCTTTACCGTACACGCAATGCTCACAAAAGTCCATGCAAGGCTTCTTCAAATTCTTTAGCAAGCCTTTTTTGACTAGCAAATCTAGCCCCTTTTCAGACATATGCCCAAGCCTCCTATGCCATAGCCGAGTACACTCACATGGGTCTCCACCACTTCCACTTGTTCCAACTGCTACATCTTCAATAACTGTAGTACCCTGAAGTGCATAGAGATTGCCTTCACGAATACCCTTCATCACAATCAAAGAACCACGAACAACCTTCTTTACTCCATTCCATGTTACAATCTTGCAACCACCGGAGTCTAAGGCACCAACAGAGATAAGGTTCTTTCGCAAATCAGGAACATGTCTAACATCCATCAATGTTCTAACCACTCCATCATGCATCTTGATTCTAATTGAACCAAGCCCCACCGTTTTACAAGAATGGTTATTGCCCATCAACACGGTTCCACCATCAGTGCTTCTATAGGTAGTAAACCACTTCCTATTTGGACACATATGGTAAGAGCATCCGGAGTCATGAATCCACTTACCGGAGGTCTCTTCATCACAAGAGATGGTGCAGCATTCATCGCTTTCCCCTCCTTCCGAGGCATAGCTTACCTCTTGCTTGACATGCACCTTCCCACTGTTGTTGTTCTTATTGTTCTTCTTCCAACCCTTTTTGTTTTGACAATTCGCCTTGAAATGCCTAAGCTCGCCACATTTGAAACAAGACCTTTCCGCAAGAGGCCTAGAACTTGATCTAGATTTTTCTCCCTTGCCCTTTGGTCGCACGTTGCTCCTACCCCTTACAAACAATCCTTGAGCTTGCTCCTTGTTACCAATGGTAGACATGCCACTAGTTGCAATCTTTCGAAGATCATCCGCTAGAAGTGACGTTCTAGTGTCCTCCATCACAAGTTTATCACCCACAAGCATCAATGTTTGTACTAGGTTCTCGTAAGACTTTGGCAATGAAAGAAGTAGTAGAAGTGCTTGATCCTCATCATCTACATCCACATCAATGTCCTTCAAGTCCGATATGATCCTATCAAACTTGTTGACGTACTCCCGGATTGGTGTACCTTCATCCATCTTGCAAGTATACAATTTAGACTTCAAGTAGATCCGATTTGTTAGAGTCTTCGTCATGAAGTTCGCCTCCAACTTTGTCCACACCTCCGCCGCCGTTACCTCACTACCAAGAAAGCAATATCTCTTTCAAGGCAAAGAATGATAGACGCTCGTGCCTCAAGATCTAGCTCTTCCCAATCCTCGTCCGACATATCAACGTGCTTCTTCTCCTTTCTCGCCAATGCCTTGTGCAACTTTTGAGAAATCAACAAATTTTTCATTTGCATTCTCCAATATGAAAAATCATTCTTCCCATTGAATTTCTCTATCTCATACTTCCCAATCTTCACCATTCCTCTAGTAGACATGATTTATCCACTTGTTTACCAAAAATAAACCACAAAAGTTCACTTGGGAATTTTCACAAACACCTTGTGCACAATAAAGTTCAAGCAACTCACCACAAAATCGAAGCTTAACCACCTTGATTTAGGATGTAGCTCTGATACCAAATTGTTGGGAAAATGACCTCCCAAAGATAGCCCAAAGATCAAACAAAGTTGGCAAAGTGAAAATTTTCAAACCACTTGAAGAACAAGAAAATGGGGAAGAAATGATTTTCAATATATAAATGAAGAACAATGGATTGGATTACTTGAACAAGCCTCAAGTTAATCCCCAAGAAAAGAAAATAGCTTTGAATTTATACCCAAGAAGAACAACCTCTTACTTGTTAAATTCAATCCAAGCTCTCTCACTTTTCTCTCCAAAATCGTGTATCAAAAATGAAGGGGAAAAACCATCTATATAAATAGCTGAGTCGGTGGCGCCAAGATGGATTAGAACCATGGGCGCCATGGCGCCTGCATCACTGGACCATTTTTCACACTTTGGGCGCCATGGCGCCCAATCATGGCGCCATGGCGCCTGACTCCCTGCACCGCTTTCTCACACTTATCTTTTGTTAATCCGCCCAAGGGTGGTGAAGGCTTTATTGTTGTTCATTAGAGATGTCACATATAAAGCTGTTGTGGGCGCCATGGCGCCTGACTCCCTGCACCGCTTTCTCACACTTATCTTTTGTTAATCCGCCCAAGGGTGGTGAAGGCTTTATTGTTGTTCATTAGAGATGTCACATATAAAGCTGTTGCTGTTATTTGTTTGAAGGGACTAGAGAAGGAAACTTTATGAATGAATATGAATTACTATCTTGTTAAGCAGTGCAATTAATACTCGTGAAATCACAAGGACATCGGATAGTAATTGTTTTGTTTCAGATGATTATAGTAACCTGTCCTATTTTCAAATTAAGATGAACAATCTGCTTGTATAAACCTTATTAATAGAGTCCTAGTAACTACAAAATAGGAAGACTAAGGTTGTTCTAATTCTACTTGCATGATCCTGCATCAATTCTATCACCTATTTCTGTAGGTTCTTAACAGCTAGTTACCTAAATTTCTGACCAGTTAATATTTCTATACATAACTCGCTTTCTTCTTTTCAAAACTCCATACTTGAATCCTTAATTGTCCTTCTTGCAACGATAAAGAAGAATTATTTCCCACAACTCAGCATTCCAATATTAAACAACTCTGAGAAGTCAGGAATCTATTGGGTACAGATTACCTAATCTGGTCCCTTTCCTTCTTTCAAAATTTGTCATATTAGGTTTGCTATTATGTACTGCACTATCTTTGTATTGCCTACCGGAACGAACATGGAAAGTGGATCATGTATGATGACGAAACTGTAAAGGTAAAATTTCCATATATTTCTATGTATTCCTTCGTTTTCCTCTTTTGCAGTTCGTCTATAATTGGTATTTGATGTCTAGGTAATTGGTGGCTGGAATGATGTTCTTGAAATGTGTGAAAGAGGACACATGCAACCACATATCCTCTTTTTTGAATCTGTAAACTAGTATGATTTGATTGAGCTACTTGATCCTTTGAAAATATGCAGTGCAAGCATCAGCATGTGCAAGTTTTTGAGCCAATATTCCAACTGATAATGCACCTACGTAATGGATGGATTCTTGTATTTAGATATTTTTCGATTGTTTTCCAGAGGAAACTTGTGTAGAACTTTTGTATTGGCAGAAAAAAGTGAAACTACTAATGGGGTCTAGTATTGTTTTTCAGACTGAAATGTGATTATGCAAATATTGACTTGGTAAATTTTCTACCCCTTTTTATTAGTAATGTTCTCGAGGAAATCCAATCCCTAACCTCAAACTGGGTTCTTAAGGAATCCAATGCCCCTTGTTTGATAGAATTAAAATTAGATTTTTAATGGATTTTGATAAAAGTCGATGAAATGTGTGGTTAAAAAATTATGGATCCTATGAAATATGTGATTAAATTAATTGTTGACTTTGAAGAAAAAATTAGATTTTAATTACTATCAAACAGGGACTTATGAGAACGATAATATAACCACCTGCTGCTTACTCTTTGAATGAAGGTTTCACAAGAGGACAGTGTCGAGTCGACGAAGGATAAACTATAACATTTTAATAATCTATTTTTAAGAATTATAAATTGTGGGTTTTACACGTGACATTAGAATTTGAGTCTCCAAAGGACGCACACTTTGGCTAAGCTTAAAAATATTGCTTATAAGTAATTAAGTTTAGAAATAAATAATTGTTTGATAGTCAAAGTCGAAAATAAGTTACTTAGTTTGATGATATATACACACACATACAAGCACGTTTGGAAGTACAAAATAAATCATAATTTAGTTTTAAGCTAAGCCAAACATGGTTTGGTTAGAAAAATTAGGAGTCCCTAATTTATCTGAGGAAGATAGGACTTTGTTGTAGTAACTACATTTGTCCCTAACGATCTCAATCCCATTTTTACTCAGTCTTTCCACACTTATCAGCAAAATCCGCACATTATCACACTATTTTAGATCAATTTTGCCATTTGGCTTCTGTCTTTTCCAATACCAATAAACCAATTCTTTCATACAATCACATGATTTCTTTACACATATGAATGCATTCTTGAATACATTCTTTGAATGCTTTTTTGAGAATGACCCTTAAGGGTGGCACCGGCCAAGCCTGTGCAGCATGCAAGTATCAGAGGAGACGGTGCGCCTCTGATTGTCCACTTGCACCATTCTTCCCAGCTGATCAACCAAAAATGTTCCAAAATGCACACAAGCTTTTTGGGGTAAGTAATATCTTGAAAATACTTAAGCAGCTCGACCCGAGTCAGAAAGTTATAGCCATGAAGTCCATCAAATATCAAGCCAATATGCGGGATAAGTATCCTGTCTATGGATGTTTGGTTGAAATACAACAGCTTTATTACCAAATTCAAATGGCTGAAGAGGAACTTCATGCTACTCTTAACCAACTTGCTTATTATAGACAACGACATCAGCAGCAGGAGATTTCATCGGCTAATGAGTCATTATCGCGGTTACAATTAGGCATGGCACCTCCAGGTAATGCAATGACAATTATTAACCAGGATAATCCCCCACAATATGATGCTGTGACAGCATTGCCTATTACCTATTCAAATAATGACAACCCATGTTATAACACTGAATATTTGGAGGCGAAGGAAAATAATGTTGTCGATTCTTTGTGGATTCAACAACCGTATAGTAATGGCAACAATTCCATGGCAATGCAATCACAGTTGAGTAATTCACAACATCTATCTGTTCAACAAGAGAGGGCTCAAGATTATGACGAAATATATCCATTTTTTGACACTATAGATGATAGACAATCCTACATGGACTCCAAGGAAGTGTACGAGTCAAGGTATAGTAATTATTCCATTTTTTTTCAGTTTATTGCTAGGAAGATCGATCTTTGATTGACTTTACACATTATTGCATCAACAGTAAATTATGACATCCCATTTTTAAATTTCAAATTTTAATTAACATGCAGCTCGGAATCATCATTGAAAGATACAAGACAATCAGTCGATCAAATAGCCGAGAATGAGCTAAAGAGTGCTGCAGCATGTTTTAGCCTTACCAGTGTCAACTGATAAAGCAAACAAATTGAAGGAGATACTAGCAGAGAGGCTTGGCCCATTGTGATCCAATTTTTGTAATTTTCATATAGAATTCACCAAGTATTCTATTTTCTTTGTTACCTAATGTTTTTAGCGAGTCGAACCATGAGCACTTGAATGAACAAGATTGGAATCAAGTGATATGGACGATTGAAACCTTCGTGACTAAGAGAGACTATGCTTTTGTATTGGTTTTGAGGATTGTAATTTTCTCTCACAATAAATTTTCCTTTTTGTAAAATTTATGATGATTTCTTGATCATCATTTAGTTAATTAAAAATGAATACAGATGAATGTTCTAAACTAGTGGGAATTTGTTAATTGAGTCTGGGTTGAATGCAACATTTAAGGCTGGCGAAGAAAAAGGTTCCTTTACGTATGATTAAGAGTTTACATGCAAGTATAATAAAGGTTATGTTAGATTGGTTGTCATTATCATTTTCAACAAAAATATATCTTCTTTTACTTGAATTCAGTTTGAGACAACGACGTAATTAGGGGTACTGGACCAGGCCTTCCTGGCCCATTTAATTATTTTAGTGTTAAAAAAAAAAATTATGTAAAAAAATTAAAATTTATGTGTAATTTAGATTTATTTTTTTTATTTTTTTAGCCCGGCTTGTAGCCAGAAGTAAACTCGTCCTCGGTTTGAGACTATCCATTTTGTGCTATGCACTTGGATCATCCTCAATATTCTATTACCTATTTCTAGTATCCAATATGAATCGAGAACGTACACGCATGGAACAACATAATTCAAGAATGCTAGTAAGTATTAGAGCGAAAAGAGTATGACATTCCCATTTAAGCGTTTAAAGAAACTAGGCCTGGGCAAAAAAATCGTCAAACCACCTAAACCGCCAAACCGAACCGATTCGGTTTGGTTTGGTTCGGTTTAGAGTAGTCAAATGGTTTGGTTTGGTTTTTTGTAGACAAAAACCATGTTGGTTTGGTTTGGTTCGGTTCATGGTTTGAATACCAAAACCGATGGTTAACCGCTCAACCCGCTACAAATTTAAAACATTTTTTTTCTTTTTTAAAAAATAAGAAGAAGAAGAAGAAGGGTAACTCACAGACAGAGTATGACTGTAGGAATCAAAATAAACATGATAACAAATCCAATCCAAATCCAATAAAATTCCACATTAATTATCAATTTCAATAGTAGTAAAACTAAGGTTTTATTAGCAACTGTAGACTATATTTACGATTCAATCATTCATATATCCAGAATCATGCAGCATGATGATTAAGAATCATGCAACAAAATGGATATAGGACTTATAATTATTTCATGAAAACTAACTCATAATCAGACTCTCAAGCAATACATTTTCTCTTGCTTTCGTTTTCCTTTTCAGGAAGAAAAGTCAAAAGATAAGGCACCGGAAGTTGATGCTTGATGACGACGAACTTTCGCTATTCTTCTACTTTCCAGAACCTCGTCACTAGCTCTTTTGAAACTTTTTGTTTCTGATTCAAAGGTTTCATTATTATTAAGATCAGGATTATCTCAAGATAGTTGCACTCCGACAGCCCTCTTTTTTGAAGGTTGAAAATTGTTTTCCTCATCCCCCATTGTAGATTAACAAAACAAACTTGAAGGAAAATTTGCTTCCTCCACAAGTTGGAAGAAAGTGATCTCTTCAGTTAAAAACATATGACAAAAATCACAAACTAAAATGACATTATAAATGGAATCAAATGTTGCTTCTTGACCAAACAAATGTTAGGAAAGATATTCTAGGATATGAAGCAAATACTTTTGAAGGAGACAAACTATAATGTGAAACTACATGATCCAGATAATCAATTAGCACTCGCCTACAGACATAAACAAGTGAAACTAATCATTAAGTTTGACAATTGTTAATTCATTACAGAAAGTATCCAAAGATCATGCGCCAAGCAAAAGAAACACTCACATTTGTAAATCAAACTCAAAAATGGGGGAACAAGGAAAAAAAGAAAGGAAAAAGAAAGAAAAAAGGGAGGAAAAAAAAAAGAAAAAGAAAAGAGAGAGAACAATGTGTAAGAGTAACATCAATGTTTGCTTGTTCTTTATAAGTTACAATACAATGTTATTTAAAAGTTAAAACCGAGAAATCAAACCAAACCAAACCGAACCGAAGTGGTTTGGATTGGTTCGGTTTAAGAATTAGAGTGGGTTGGTTTTGGTTTTAATTTCACTCAAACCGACTACTTTGGTTTGGTTTTGGGTTTAGGTCAAAACCAACCCAAACCAAACCACGCCCAGGCCTAAAAGAAACCTTATGGATTGTGAAATCGGCGAAGAAGATTAGCAGGAAATTTTCAACTGCTCTCGGTGATTTCGACCAATTGAGTGCATGCTGTTAACCATTCAGTTTAAGATCCCATTATTTCAAGGTGAAAGGCGGTGATTCAACACCCTTCTGTTTACCCGGTAATGTTTGGCGTTTCCACCACTCCGTCAAGTATGCAAGATCTGAAAAATGAAGGCGGGGCTTTCTCCCCCGTTTTACCTCCGGCGTGAAAATTAGTTTTCAGACTTGGAAAGAATATATTTGAAAATCAGATGGCTAAAAACGAGAATGGGAGCTCAAAAAAAATCCTCTCTTACCTGCGTCTCATCCGGGGGTATTTATAGATATTAGGCACTAGGTAACCGCTGGGCGGTTGTGGTGCCACGTGTCCCACGATGGTATTCCCACTATACCCACGTTCTGAGTGATGAGTCCTTAACTTCCCGTCTGAAGATTGTACCTGTATTAACGGCCATGTAACCTTGTCGATTCATTAAAGGTTTTATGGCTAAGTGTTTGGACAAGGGATATCATTCCCGTTGAGGATTTCGCTTAGTGGTAGAATGATTTCTTGGGATAGCGGTAGAGCGCCCCTAGGTGTAGTGGTAGAGCGCTCCCTAGGTGCAGTGGTAGAACGCTTCTTGGGTGTAATGGTAGAACGCCCTTTGGGGGTCGTGGTAGAGCGCTCCCTAGATGTAGTGGTAGAGCGCTCTCTGGGTGTAGTGGTATAACGCCCTATGAGGGTCGATGGCCTTACATCGGTGTGCTGTGATCTGCCTTGCTTGTCCTTGAGGGTGTCTACTTCTACCAACCTATATCACAAGGTTTAGTAGAATGCCTTTAAGTATGAAATTTACAGTTCAAGATAACAGTCCGTGTTACTTTTTGCCGATATCTATTGGAGACGAGAGTAGAATTGTGAATCCTACTCTACCTTAGAATAGAAGAAATACCACTACTCAGACATCTAGAAGTGGCTCAATTATGAGAAAGTAGAAACTTTTTATTAGAATGGCAGCATTGGACCAAATATAGGGTGGCAACATCTGATGCATTATCCGTCCAGAGGAAAAAAGCCGGTCGAATTTAGAGGCGTGGTTATAGTGACATATGGAGGTTTTTAACAAAATAAGATACAGATAGGAAGTAAGAGCATAGTTGCTATGGAATAAGAAATGTGGTTAAAGACTAATTCTAATCTCTGCTGTATAATCAATGAAAAAAAATTAAAGAACTCTGTCATTAAAACTAATCTGCTTCTACTTGCCTTATATGAATAGCATTATTTGTAGAATTAGTGATTTTTCACCATATATAAAAGTTAAGTCAGTTCAAGCTCAAATAAATTGATATCTGTTTCGTGCGGATAGTCGTTAACAATTAAAAAGGGATCAGACGATTGTGTAAGGAACAAACCTCTTAAGACAAAGTCCCAAAAAAGGGTGTTTTATTGGCGATGATTTACAATTGAAACTAAACAGAAAGCCTCCAATGGGCGCAAGCACACGAGTACTGAAAGAAATGTCTAAATTTAAACTAAGAAATTGAAATTACATATTCTCTATTTGAGAGTGTTTGATTTGGATCATTTTCTCTATGTCTTCTCTTCCTTATATATTCTCTTGATGATTTCTTCGTGACAAACCACTTGGAAACTGCTTGATTGCTCTATAACTACCCATTTTCTTTATGGTGGCTAACTTGTCGTAGAACTGTCGTCTCTAACTGCTGCAACTATTCTTTGTCGTTCAACCGCCTTCAACTGGGTTCCTTGAATCGTGGAATGTGATAAGGGTACTCAATAACTGCTTCAATAACTGCATTTCTGGATAACCATAACATTTTATGTTTGCTAATATCCTAGGCGATTCGAAGGTATGGGCGAGAACAGGGTCATCGCTCTGGGTGACTGTAAGGCACTCCATTCGCTCAGATTTTGGGCGTCTTGCAAGCTTTGGACGATAACGTTACTGTGTTCGTGGACTTCCACTGCATTCATTAATAACCCTGTCTCGGCCTTTATCCTGAATTCCTCAATTGGGCTTCATTCTTTGGGCTATTCGATTTGGGTTGCACTTTTAGTGTGTCAACAATTACTCCCCAATATGGCAGAATTAATACTAATTATTAATTTTTGCCATATTTATTTTGTGTTTTCCCGCAACATTTGAAATTTTCAAGAATTTCAATCATTATTTCCTTTTATAACCTGAAAAGGTGCGACGTTGCAAACCCTTATAAACCTCAAAGACACGTCATTTCATCGCACCACTAAATCACGCCTCATTACTTCGCGCTTCTTTCTCGCAATATTACTATTCATCTTCTTGCTTCCCTACTACGTTTCTCAAACAAACTTTAACAAAACTGTATTTCGTTCCCAATGGCGGCTCCACAAACCCAATCTGATGACTCTTTTAGCTTCGAAGATTTCCAGAAAATCCTTACGGGCCATATGTAAATCCGAACTTCCTCGCAACAGCCAATACCGAATTCAATGAGTTCTATCTGGGTCCATCATTCAACAACGCCGAAGCCGTCGAACAAGTGGTAGTGGGCCAGCTATTTCCTTGCACTCGAGGCCCTCCGTTCCTGGACTCTTTGCCGCTGAGGCCGATTTGCGAAAAAGGTATTCGCACTTGGCCTAAATCTGATGTTATTTTTCGCAGATGGCATGCTCGCCTTGTGGGCCATGGTCTTACCAAGGCAATTTTTGATCGTGCTAGAATTTCTGATTTATTAGAAATCGCTCTTCAACCCCCAATTTTTGACCCAGTGCTTTTTCCTATTACTTTAAGTTTTTGGTCTTCTGAATATAATACATTTGTTTTCCCTCTTGGTCCCATGTCGATTACTTTAAGGGATGTTGGGGCCTTAGTAAATCTTTCACCTTTGGGCGATACCATTTTCCCTGGTATTTTGATTTTCGGTGTCGCCTCGAAATTTGACAAGAAACTCACTGAGTTCTACTCAAGCCTACAAACCTCTTATAATCACTCAAGCGCTGAACCTTCCCATGT